TTGAGTTTATAATCTATTGTTTGGCTTGTTGCCACATATTGCTCTCTACATTTACATCATGCAGCAGAGTCAGTTTTCATTTTGTATGGCAATGGCTATACACATGTATGTGCACAGGATGAGGTGGACCTAATTATGTGTGTGGGCAATCTCAAGCTTGAATTGCAGTCATTGTTAGTAGTGTTAAGTCAAGTTTTTGACCTCATCATTGGTATGGATTGGTTGCGGCACAATCATGCCAAGTGTGACTTTGAGGCTTTTCCCCTTTGTCTCATACTTTCTTATATTTTTTCCATTCCTCTCACTTTTATTCATTTCCGTCCCTTTGCTTTTAGCTCTGCTTCCATCACTTTTATCTCTTTATTACTTCCTTCTATATTTCCATTTTATTCCTCTATTCTCTTTTCCGATCCTTACGACGGTCTTTATGTTGTAGTGATTGACTAGCTTATGAAGGAGTATATTAATCTCTTTGAATTTGATTTGTCGTTTGGGGCCAAGATTGCAACACGTCATCCTATTCCAATTGAGAATACTCGTCCAATCAAGGCTTCTATTCGTTTTCGGCCATCAAAAGAAATCAAGATTTTATACACAAATGTCAAAGAGATGTTGAAAAAAAATGTTATTCAAAAGTTATGGAGTCCTTGGGGATGTGAACCTTATCTTGTGATGAAGCCTGATAGGAGCATTTGTTTCTGCATCAAGTATCATTCATTAAACAAAGTGATGATCTCGGATGTGTACCCTTTTTTTCACATTGCAGATCTCTTAGATTATTTGGGGAGAAGTCATTGGTTCACAAAGTTAGATCTTGCTTTTGGGTAATGGCAAGTGCCAATGGCCAAGAAAGATATTCTTAAGACTACTTTTCGTACATCATCTGGTTTGTATGAGTTTGTTAGGAATCCCCCAATTTTTACCACATTCCTGACTCTCACTGAATTCCTGACCCATAGACCACATTCTTGACTCTCGAGACACTTCCCTATTCCTGACTCTCTAATTTCCCATATGATTCTTGATTCTCAAACCACATTTCTGATGATGATGTGGTGCCTCCTCAACCTCAGCTATATTTAGGCTGTCCTCGATCCAAGAGTGGTGGAGCTTCATCAACCTATAGTATATATAGGTTAGCCTTGTTCTATTTCTCCACAATCTGAATTAATGCCAGTCTAAGGCCTCTTCTTTGTCTCTATTAGCTTTTCTCTTTGCCTTTTACATTTTCCAATCTTGATCTTATTGGGGGTCTTGACAGAGTTCTTGGTGATAACATTTGTTTTGAACAATACTCCATCAACTTTTGATGGACAAGGTTCTTTGCGATATGCCAGAAGTGACTGCTGATTTCATTGATGATAACTTGATTCACTCGAAAGAGACATAGGAGGAACATGTCCGTGATGGTTGAAAGGTGTTGAATCAGTTATGGGAAATTGGTTTAAAGTTAAAGCGGTCGAAGTGCATGTTTAGGAGGGACCTAAGGGACCTAAAGTTCTAAGTTTTGAGAGTGAGTTAGAAGGCACTAGAGAGAGAGTGTGAGGAGGAGAGGGAGGGAGCGCAGAGGACGGCAGCAGCAACGCATGTGCCGTGGCAGCAGCACGCAGGGCTCTCCTCCTTCCTCCTCTTCCTCTCTTCTCTCGAAAGAAGCATCTCGGCGCTTGAATCTCGATTTCTCCCAAACGGGTAGGAGTTTTCTCGATTCCTTCGATGGGGGGCTTGTAGGAGTGGAGCATCATGTCCTCCTACAATGGTGCAGCGAGATCTGCCACGGATCTGGAGATCTCGCTCACCCTAGTTGCAGCATCGGCTAAGGTTTGCAAGCTTTCAAGATTTGGGGCTTTCGGTTCTTGGGGGAAATCGAGTTGTGGGAGCGATAGAGGCGAGGAAAAGGGACATCGCCAGCTTCACCAGTCCTCCACTCACTTCACCGGAGTGACTATGGCAAAGGACAGGCTCTTTTTTTCCTCTTTTCTCTCCCACGGCTTGGTTTTCGCTCAAATTCTCGTTTCGACTTCACGGCTGGCATCTAGGGAGTGGCGAGCAGCACTCCCAGCAGCAGCGCTTCATTCAAATCTGGGATCCAGGAGATCTGGACAACCCTAGCTCGCGCTCTGGAATTAGGGTTCTTGGGCAGTAGCTAGGGTTAGGGTTTTTGGGCATCTCGACAGTGGAAGGACAGTTGCAAAAGCCCTAGAAATGGGGCTCTTTGCCAAGATCTATGCGATCTACGTGACGATGGCGGTAGCGGTCAAGGATTGGTGGAGCTGGATGTCGCTTTAGGGGTGACTTGGAGCAACTGGGACTTGAAAAAGTTCCCAGCTTTCTGGATTCTCTTTGGATGACCACGCACGGTGTCTCGCTTTGAGGAAGATCGAGAAGGGAGGATTTTTGGACCCAGTGGTAGGGACTGCTGCCACAATTGGGACCAGCGGCCAACAGAGTCGATGCGGCGGTACACGCGTGGGGGATCCATACATCTCTCCTCCAATGCCTACTCTGGAGTTCACTCCCTTAGGAGGAGGTTCGTGCCCTTTCCTAGTTCCTATTGCAGGGGCTAGGACTCATTCGAAGATGAGCTAGCGCACTTGTCTTGTGTGGGAGGCAAAGTAGCACACTCCAGCCTTGAGTTGGAGGACGTTCACACCTCGCATGGAGCTACGAGTTGGAGTATTATCGCGTTTGGACGTTGTTCTGGCACTGGAGGCACGTTGGTGGAGGAGCGCTCTATGGCAAGTTGTGCTAGCCATGGAGCGTAGCAGGTGGCTTCAACCTTCGCAGTGGAGTCACCTAGGAGGTGGACGGCCCATGGGCAGCGCCGGGCATCCATGCTCGTAGTCTCGCTAGTCTCTCTAAGAGTGCGCTCTCGCTGTTGTTTTAGGGGCATTGGGGAATAGTACATACAAATTTCATCGAAGTGCATGTTTAGGTCTAAGGACATGACTTATTTTGTGTACCGCATTTCTTGTGAGGGCTTACAAGTTGATCCTAACAAACTTATGGTTGTTCTAAAATTTCCTATTCCAAAGTATGTAAATGATGTGTGGCCCTTCCTGGGCAAGGTGCAATATTTTGGTCATTTTGCTAATCATCTTTTTTATTGCATTGCATCATTATGAGTGTTGTTGAAGTTATTAATGTCATTTTTCATTTAATCTATGGATTGTGAGCAAGTGTTTACTAATCTTAAAGAGATATTGATGACTCTTGTAGTTTTGGTGTATTCTAACTATACTTGACTTTTCAGTTTGCACATGGATCCTTCTAATATCAGTCTTGGAGGTGTGTTGATGCAAAAGAGCTTGAGTGTGTCTAATTAGCGCCATCCCATTATATATATTAGCTGTATATTACAACCAGTAGACGTGAACTATTTCATGACAAAGAAGGAGTGTTTAGCAATAGTTTGGGATTTTGAGAAATTTCATGCATATTCATATGGTTCTTGGACATTACTAAAAGGTAATCATGCTGCAATTACTTCATTATTGAAGTAGAAGAACTTGGTTAGTTGTACTGTTTGGTGGGTTTTGAAGCTTTAGATATATGATTTTGATGTTATTTATCGTCTGAGGAGTTCTATGGCTGATGCTAATGCTCTTTCTTGAGCTTCTCTTCCTTCTCACTCTCTTCTCATGTTTATGACGAGTTTGTTATTACAATATCTTTGGATTTTTTAAACAAGGATTCCATGCCATCATCAATTGTTATACTTGATGTTCAGTGTCCATAAGGTGCAAGGCAAGATATACCTGCTCTTGATGAGGTTCATGAGGCTCAAAATATTGAGCTATGGATTCAAAAGTTTCGTGATAGGTTTAAAAATTCTACATTACTTACTAATGACTTACCATTTTGATAATTACATTCTCAATATCACTTTAAAGATAATCTTTTTTATTTTGTGGGGACGGATCTTAATGATCATTTATAGTTAGTGATGCCTTTAATCTTTATTCCACACTTTCTTCATACCTACCATGATTCTCTTATTTTAGGTGGGCATATAGGATATTATTGTGTAACTAAAAAGCTACATAGGCCTTTCTATTAATGGAAGATATGATGTGATATTATCAACTGCATGTGGTGCCAAACTCTTAATACTCCCCCTTATATTATAGAAAGACGATTGGAGTCAATTGCAATTTCTTATCTATTTAAGTCAGTGGTGTTTGACTTAATAGGGCCTTTTCCACAATCGACTGTTGGCAATAAGTATGTGATTATTTTTTTTGACTACTTGACTCACTAAGTGGAAGTCGGTGTTCTTGTTAGGGCATTTATAACTTTTATTGGATCAAGTGGTGCTCTAGTATTTCTATCTGGAGTAGATTCTTTCAAATAATAGTCTCGCATTTATGGTTAAGGTATTTTATGTTTTAATATCTTAATTGAAGATACACCACACTTTCACGAGTGATTATCATCCACAGTTAAATGATTTAGTGGAATGACTTGTTCGGACCTTCAAAGAGATAACTGCAAAATATATGAACTTTCAGCATTCAAATTGAAATAGTTATTTGCCATCTCTTTGATATATGTACATTATAAGGGTGTAGAGTTTTATTAGTGTTTCACCACATACTCCTTAAAGACAATCAAAGTTGCCTTTCATCTCCACCAATATGAGTACATGGAATATAGAAATGGAATACAGAAATATACATATCAATTAACTTGGAAACCCTAGCTTATATATTCAAATTGAAACCAATTTAATAGCTACCAAAATCCCACTACGCTAATATTGTATTGTAGCCATACACTTGGACCTCACAACAATATATATTTTGATTTAATTTATTAATAATTTCTTAGGTTTTGTGGTTTTATCATTTGAAATGAGATATTTAACTTCATTCTTTTATTTCTATTTTAAATCATTATTACTGATTTATTTTTTAAAACCTTTTGCATAAAATATTATATTATAGATTTAAAGTCATAAATATCATATTATCATATAAAACATTAAATATAATCATCTTACATAGTGTTGAGGTTCGAACCTGGAACTTCATCTAGGCGGTCTTCACTCTGCGGCGATGCTGGAGGAGACGACGAGATCGCGGCGCCTTGATCTTGAGTTTCATGAGGTATGTTTTCCCTGCCACTGATTCAATCGTCTAGGCGCTACTCGTCGCGATCACATTTCAAACCCTATCGGGACCGATTTTTCTTGTGATCCTTTATCAAATTTTTTCGTTTGTGTTGAGATGCTTGTTTGTGGTTTCTCGCATTTTCGTTGATCGATTTCTTTCCTATTTTGTTCATGTAGGCACGATAAGGATGTCCAGGCCTATGGTGCTTGCTCTAGTGCTCCTGTTTTTGATTTTCTCCTCTCAAACGGAGTGGCTCCAACAAGTAAAGATTGAGCCCGAGGCAGAACCACCCCCTAGAGCGCTACACGCATCCAGCCACCAAGTTAACGAACAGGTATTCTTTACACTTTCCTGGTAGAAAGAAAGCCGGACAAACTTCGCTTTCTTCACAGATCATATTCCTACAGGAGAAACAAATCCACACACTCACTCAGCTCGTAAGAAGTTTGCGAAACCAATTGTCGCTCTGCCAGGAAACTCTCGCAAAGGAAAACGCCACCGAGACTCTGCTCGATGTCCCAGAAGCGGATTGACGGTGTCGTAAGTATTTCGTGAGTGTGTAAGCTGGAAGTCTACAAATAAAACTCGTTGCTCGTTTTCTAACACTCTGGCTGCGCTTTTTCCTTGCTTGCTTTTGTGTGCCTGGCCTGTTCTTTCGGTCCTCGCTAAAGCTACAATGCCTCCACTGCAACGTGTACCTTATCGCGTTGCTATACTTTTTGTGCGAGACTGACACTGTGCTCTTCCATTGTGCAGGCCAGCTTTGTACAACACGGGATACGATCGAATCTCTGCTATTGCTCGAGGTGCCTAGTCAAACTTCTCCACAGCTGAGACGCTGGAACTTGAAGCAGCGTGTCGCTGCTGCAAGACAAGATCTTCCACCAGTTGGAGGCCCGGATCTCCACCTCCAGCTGCTGCCGCTCCCACTCCACCTCGTTGACGAGGATCCGGACGTCCTCCGGATCCACAAGGCCGCGCTGGACGCTGCTCACGGTCGATCTCAGCGTGTGACTTTGGCCGAGGTAAAGTCCATCTGTGAGCGTTCTGTAGCCTCGCAAGTGATTGCTGGACGTTAACAAGTGGACTTGTGGCTTGTAGGAAAACGGGAAGTGCGGCCCGGCCACAAACGCGGGACACGTAAGCTCGGCCAAGCGAATCGCGTCGGGCTCCATCAACGGGACGTCGTCCACAGGGAAAGGCATGAGCTTGTTGAGAATGAGGCCCTTGCAAGAGCTCTCGCTGGACTGGATGATGAGAACCACCGAGTTTTGGAACAAAGAGTGCCTTTGCACGGCGCTGGTGGCGACGAGCACGGAGCCCGGCTCCAGGCACGAGATCTGGTGAGCCCAAGCTTGATGAGGCTGCTGCTGCTGCTGCTGCCCCGCCTCGTTCATCAGCAGCGCCGCTCGGAAGCTCCTCCAGTCGCGGAATCCCGACGAGCACGGCATGGAGGTGAGCTGCTTTCTAAAGCTGCCGCCACTTGGTGGGACGAGAGTTTTGACATCTCGCATTTCTTCCGAGGACTTCTCGCAGCTTATCCGGACTGGGAGTGGACAAAAGCTTAAATTTTTCAGCTACTTCGGCACAAGAGAGATCGTGTTTGTGGTAAGTACCTGTTCTTCCCGATCTCGTTCGCAAGTTCTTCCTTTTGCTGCCGCTGCTGCGACTGACTTGTGGCTGCATCAGGGACGAGAAGCTCGCGCTGCTGCTGCTGCTGCTGCTGCTCGCCATCGCCTCGCGGCTGGAAGAACCAGATAAGAGAGAAAAAAAGAAGAGCGCTGCGAAAAAGGAGAACTAGAACGGAGGAGGAGGAGGAGGTCTGGGTGGGATTTATAATCCAGGTTTGCTCGTCTCACTGTTGATCGCTTTGGCAGTTTTGGGCGATGACAAGAACATTTAAGTGCCGTGAAGCGTGTCATCGCGGAACTTGGGAGAAGAAAGAAAAGTAAAGCAAACACTTAACCGTGTAACGCAACAACGGGGAGAGAATGTGAGTGAGTGGTGATATGCCTTCCTTTTCCTTCCTTTTCCTTCCTTTATTAAATTGGCACGATGAGGAGATATGGATGCTCCCTGCTTTATTGTTGACCCGGACAAGGGGCGATCGCGGCCGTCCAGTCGGACGGCCGCGATGTGGGTGTGGCAGTCAAACTGACTTTTTCTTTAATTTTTTTTTTTTGCATGATTCCGAAAGGATATATTCGACGAATTATTTCTATTTTTCCGGGCTTTTCGTATTTCGAAATGGGGATCTTTTTTATTTGTCCACCTGGAATTATTAAGGGTTTAAATCATCACATTAAGTGCTGTGCGGTTTTAGGGCTTGGGATTAGGGCTAGCAGGGCAGCGAATGCGGGAGGAGGATCCGTGCGACGAGAGCGGTGGCGGAGGAGGCGGAGATCGCTGTGGCGGTGGCGGCGGAGGAGGATCAAGATCAGCTGGAGGAGGAGGAGGAGGAGGAGGAAGAGGGACACGAGGAGGAGGAGGCACAGGAGCCCTGGAGTGATGCTGATCAGCCGGAGCAGCTCAGATTCCACCAAAATCTCCCCTCTTTCCATCATAATCCGCCGCCGCCGCCCCCTAATCTCTACCAGCAGCAAGATCTGCCACGGCGGGACGGCGATCGGCACCAGCAGCAGCAGCAGCAGCAGTTCCAGCAGGAGCAACATTTTCGGCGGAGGCGGCGCCGCGAGGAGAGGGAGCGCGATTCTTCGCATCATCACCACCACCACCACGAGCACCACGAGCAGCATCATCACTCCCCGCAGCAGCAGCAGCAGCAGCAGCAGCATTTCCAGCAGCATTCGCAGGACACGATGATGATGGAGCGGGGCATGTCGCCGGAGCCGCGCGGAGGAAGCCCCAAGCGCGCTCGCGGGGGCTCCATGAAGTCCTCCTCGGGTGAGAGTGGAGTGAATTGGGTTTCCAGATCTCTGCTCTAGCTCGCTCGATCTCCTTTCTCGCAAGTTTCGCCCATGCTTTTGGTTCCTTCTTTCACGCTTTTCGCTCTTTCCTCTTGCGTCCCTGCTTGTTTCGCGTGCAGTGAAAGTTTCTTTTTCTTTAGGCGTGGAATTTTCCTTTGATGCTTGTTCTTTCCCTCTGTTTTTCTCGAGGTTTGCACAAACAACTCACATTTTTTCTTCTTTCTGGGTGGCAGAGGATGGCAATGGCTCCCAGTCGAGTGCCAGGTTTCTTGTCTCCAATGCGGAGGCTGGATCTGTCATAGGCAAAGGAGGCGCGACTATAAGCGATTTGCAGTCACAGTCGGGAGCTCGCATCCAGCTCTCTCGTAGCCAGGATTTTTTTCCGGGAACAACAGACCGCGTTGTAGTTCTCAGTGGAGCTATCAACGATGTTCTCACGGCTCTTAACCTTATTCTTTCTAAGATCCAGAAAGAGGTATGCCCTCCTCGTTTTCGTCAACTAGGCCTATGACTGATCGTTGCTATCGTCTTCGTTTTCTTCAGACGGAAGACGACAGCCAAACTGATAGCAAGCCAAATCAACTTCGACTTGTTGTGCCAAACAGTGTTTGTGGAGCCATAATTGGCAAGGGGGGTGGAACCATCAAGTAAGCTTTTTCTGTTTGAGGAATCTCGTTCAAGCGTTCTTCCAGATCATTCATCGAGGACTCGGAAGCAAGCATTAAGCTGTCCGGCATACTACAGGGAATTAGTGACCGCCTGGTTACCATCACAGGCAGCATTGAGCAGCAGCTCAAGGCCGTGGAACTTATTCTCACGAAGTTGCTCGGGGATTCTAGCTATCTTGATTATGCTGCAGCTCCTCTTTCTTACACAGGTACCAACTAGATGAACTTGCTCTTTCTCACTCTGTCCTACATTTATTTTCTTTTTTATCTTTTCAGGGTGTATAGGACTTCCACAGAACAGAGTAGGCCGCAACATCGCATCTGCCATTCCGTCCAACGTAGGACCTGCAAGCAAGGTGAGTGATTTGCTTCAAATTGTTTCGATTGTTCTATCTAAACTCGTCTTTGTTTCCAGGGGATGATGACTCCAATACTGCCTATGAGAGCGCCATACCCGGTGCTCCTTCCCGTGCTCGAGTCCTGCCCTGTCACGACCTCCATTACGCTGGCTGTTCCCGACGAACACATTGGAGCCATTGTTGGTCGCGGCGGAAAGACTCTCGGAGAGATTCAACAGGTAAGAGACGCACTCTTTTCCTTCCAAAACTCTCATTCATGATCATTGTTTGTGCTTGTTTCAGGCTAGTGGTGTTACTATCAAGATTTCAGAGCGTGGGGATTTTGTTTCAGGCACAAAAAATAGGTGAGAGTCTTCAAAGTATGTTCTCGATCAACAACTTAGCATCTCTCGCTTGGTTTTCTTTTTTTCTTTTTTTTTTTCGGTGAGCAGGAAGGTGACATTGGTGGGAACAGCTGAGGGTTTACAGATTGCACAATTTTACTTGACAGCGAAGGTTCAAGCCGCGTCCGATCGCGAGAGGTGAGAACCCAATGTCGAAAAAAAAAGAGAGCTTTTGTTCTTGACATAATACATTCTCTTGTGTTAGGAAAGATCTAGCTACTTATAAAAATGTACTGACTAGGCACATAAAGGTTTTCTTATAATCAAGCTTTTCTTGCTAACATAGAAGTTTTAAAGACATGCAAATTTTTGTAGCCTCTTGCTAGGGTTTATCGACGAGGCGAGCGCGCCATGGACGAGCAGGCGGCGCGATCGTCCGGTTTTGTGGTAGGAGTGATCGAGAACAGGGCCAAGGAGGTGAGATCTCGCCATATTTCATCAATCTTTCAACCGATCGATCGATCTGCGAGAAATATCACATTTCGGGCTTGATTCTCAGGTAGGACTGGCGGCATTCGATCTGAGAACAGCATCGCTGCATCTTTCGCAGTACATCGAGACGAGTCGCTCGTTCCAGAACACGATGACGATGCTCCATTTCTATAATCCCTCCGAGCTCATTCTTCCGGCGACTAGTCCGGCGTTTTCTTCCGGGTCCGTGGCTCTCAAAGCCTTTTGCAGCCGGTCCGACGCACGAAAGGTGCGTGTACTGTGTGTTCTTCGCTGCTTTTTGTCTAACCGAAATTTCTAAGGTGGAGCTGTCCCGAAAGTGGTTTGATGATACAAAGGTGAGTGAATCTTTCTAGTGCTTTCTTTCCTTTATTTTATGTTTTCTCATGGATAGAACTTGCCAATGCAGGGCCTCCTTTTGATCCAAAGCCTGGCTTTGAAAGATTCCAATCTTTGTATGTCTCAAGGCTACAGCAAGCAGTACTATCTTTGTCTCGGTGCTGCCGCTGCTGTTGTTAAGTGGTGAGTAAAGAACTCTTAGTATTAACACCGCTTTACGTCCTTCATTGTAGGATCGAAAGTGAGAAAGGTGTCTTGCTCACGAACAATTCCCTGCGGGTATGTTTCATCGTTTGGCATCAAATTGTAGTGACTTGGATATTTTACTAGATTACATTCAAAGGTTCGGCAGACCACATGAGCATAGACATTACAAGGTAAGTAAGTCATTTTCAATGAGCTGTTCGCACTCACTTTTTCAAAATTTAAATAGCGTGCAGAGCCTTCAAGTGATCGAGTCGAGTGCTCTGGCACCGATTAATAAACTGAAGAAATGCGGAAGCCTGTTTGGGATATTGAGCAAGACAAAATCAACTGGAGGGTTAGTCGTGCGGCATCGTGGCTCTTCTTTCTAATACATTTTTAGTTTCAGCGCGAGACTTCTTCGTGCGAACCTCCTACAGCCTTTAAGAGACATGGACACCATCAACACACGTCTCGATTGCATGGTTAACGTGGATATCTGCTCGGACTTTTGGATTCTACGGCTTCCTTCATGCAGGACGAGTTAACAAGCAAGGAGAACCTTTTCTTTGGGTTGAATCAGGTGCTTCAAAGATTCCCAAAAGATCTTGGTAAGACATCTTCCTGTCGCGATTTTAAGTTAACGTTCATTTCTCACAGACAGGGTCATCTCTCACTTTTGCTTCAAGCCAAAGAAGCTCGGTGAAGGATCTTCAAGGAGTCAGTCGGTGGTAGCGAGTGTTATACTCCTCAAAGAAGCAATGGAACTTCTCCCTGCGCTGCTCCAGGTGGGTCCCTTGTATGCCTGCATATCTGATTCTTCTTTGATGTTTAGGTTCTTCAAGATGCAGAGAGTACGTTTTTCCAACGCGTCAAACAAACAGTTTGCATGCGGCAATGCTTTTCTTTTATAAAGCAGAGGTTCTGTATAACTTTCAATTTCGTGTCTGATTTTATTCTTTGTCGCAGAATACAGGAAACTATCTCTGAAGACGTTTTTAACGCCAGGATGCCTTTCGTTGCTCGAACTCAACAGTGTTTTGCAGTGAAACCAGGAATCGACGGTTTTCTGGATGTTGCCCGAAAGATCTTCTGTGATACAAGCGAAGGTCGGATTTATTATGCAATTTCGTTCACTGTTGTATGTGACTACAGCGATTCATTGCCTCGCAAAGTCATACCGCGAAAACTTTCAGCTTCCGAGTCTAAAGTTGCTTTATAATAAGTCGAAAGGCTTTTCTATTAGCATTCCAGTGGCTGAGTTTGAGCAAGCTGGCCTTCCCAAAACGTTTATCCAGGTACATCTCGCCTTGCGTTCGTAATTATAGGAGTTATGCAGGTAGTCAAGCATGCGAAATATGTACACTGCTCTACGATTGAGTTAATCTCAGTGAGTGTCTGCCTACGAGTTTATTTAATCTGATTGCTTAAAAACTCGGAAGCTTAATA